GTCACAGCAGATTAATGTATACCAGTATTTCACTTCTGGGACGCAGCCTAAAGCGACAAGATGGGTTTTCATTCCCAAGAAATGAGTAGAAGAGATTATGCTAGAAATGAATAGAAGGAGTCTCCTAGGAGAATATACTACAAAGCTGCACCATACTGATATTTAATCATCAGGGGCAGCTGTAATAGAGAGGGGGCTGCCTGGGAAACATCATCCCTAGAGAAAACAGGGCAGAGGTGTATTAACAGAGCAATTTCAAAGGACCATGGTATTGCTGCCTTCACAAGAGTATTGATCATTCATTGCACTCACACCAATACTTAAAATTAAAGATAAAATATGAAAATGCAAAGGTTCATTCATCAGTGAGACTGAGGTAATACATCACATGTTATTAATAAAGTTACAACTCTCTTTTTATTGGGAATTTTAAACTTTTCATTGCAATTTGCACCCTGCTTAGCATTTTCAACAATTTCTTTATAGCCTGATATTAAAACGCTTTGTGTTGGTGCATTTAAATCCTTTCTTTCCAAACCACCCAAGAAGTAAAGATAATAAGGACAATGATTTCTCTTGGAGAAATGAGCTGAACACTGGCACATTCATTGACCAAATCTTATTCTAAATGTTAAAAAGAGTAAGTTTCTAAATGCATGGCATAATGAAAACAGCAAGAGACTGGGAGTCAAGAGACCACTGGGTTCAAGTCTCAGCTCAGAAACTCATTGTATAGCCTTCAGTATGCCATTTCATTTCTCTAAGCCTCAGTTTCCTCATCTATAAAATGGGGGTGATAAGGAGTCTTACATAATCCATTGCCAAGTGTTATTGTGAGGTCAAATGAAATATCACAGGTGAAAGCCCTTGGTAACTATGAAATTCTGCATAATTATAAGCTATAGTTATAGTGACCATTATAATTAATAGCATCCATTATAATTAATAGTGCCCATTATGGTTGAGGGGAAAAGACCAGAGTGTGGTGTGTCACTGTATGTCCTTAGTACAAAAATGACTCTAGTTGGTGCAAGGCTGTTGACAATTTTGTAAAGGGATAGAACTGAAAATGTGTGAGGTTAATATGACCACACTGAAAATACATCAGGTAACTTTATATTAAATACATAGTGCAGATCTCATACAGCGTGAGGACAGAATAGAAGCCTTCTACCAGCGCTTTTTTTCTTAAACTGTACCTGTGGTTTCATCTGTGCAGGGACCTCCCAATAATGAACTGCCTTTCCTAACGCACCTTATGTTCTTAGAGCGTCACTGAGATGTCATGTAGCATCACATGACCAGGAGGCATCAGTGGTGAGTCTTGGACCAAAGTCTTCCTGACAGAGGCCAGCTCTCCAGGTTACCCTGATATTTATTAAACATGCCAGGAGTTGGCTGATCTTGGGCAAATGACTTACCACCTCTAAGCCTCTGTTGCCTCATCTGTAAAATAAAGGGATTGTACCTAATGATCACTAAGATGCTGTCCATTTCTGTGCTGCTGTGACTCTAAGTCTTGGCCTGTGGGTATCAATAACAGCTCACTCACCTGTGGGTCACTTCTCTTTCTGCTAGCTGCAACTACCCAGAGCATGCCTGATAAAATGGCCGAGGAGAAGCCAACTCCGGTTTTACGAGGTCGTGCACCAAGGCCTATGAGCATTAGTGGGAGAGGGCGTCCCCAGGTCCTCACTCAGAGCCTATTTACTCGATGCACAATTCTAACACTTTTGGTTATTTTGCTTTCCTGGCCTGGGGCAGTTCATAAGAAGCCTATTATTAAGTAGTGGTTAAGATTGAGAGAGAGAGGAAAGAAAGGGGCGGGGAAGATTCCAAAAGCAGTTACGGTTACTGCTGCAAGAATAGCCTGACAGTGAGGGAGAAGATAGTATACCTATTTAAAAAAATAGAATAGAATACCTTAAAATAGACAGTCTAAGGCCATTCCTAATAGGGGCAAACTAAAAAACAAATCTTAATACTACCTGAGATTGTCACTGTGTCATAGCACAATATAATAACTGAGTCTCACAATTATATCCTAGAGTAAATTCTATTTAATAATAATGATAGCTAGCATTTATATAGTGCACTAAACTTTGCAACATACTTTATAAATATAATTTCATTTTATCCTCACAACAACCATAGTTGCTATTATTATCCCAATTTACAGATGAGAAAACTGAGGCAGGCAGAGGTTAAGTGACTTGCCTGGGTCACACAGCTAGTAAGTGTCTGAGGCTGGAATTGTACTCAGAGCTTCCTGACTTGAGTTCCAGTTCTAGATTGTGCCATCCACCTGCCAGAAACATTTCTGCATTGATTCGACATTTATCTTTGTACCTCTCTAGCACCCAGTGCAGCACAGTGACTGATAAACTTTTTTGTGTACTAAAAAATCATAATATTAGTACTGTATCCATGAATGACATGGATATGTATGACATACAAAATAATGAATAGGAATTCTTGGGCATGGGGTACAGAGAATGGTCTAATTGCAAGTACATTTTCACCAGAGGAGGAGGTGGCGTATTCCCAAGAGAATTTGACTTGCACCTCCACAGGAATTACAGGATGGGTAAGGAGGATACCATGGTGGCGGGTCTCCGACTCTGATGGCACTGAAGCAATTATGCCATGTGGTGACATGGGCCAGCAGATAATCATGAGGTGAGGTATAGGATAGCAATCTTTCTTGGAGAGAAAGCTTACCATTTAGGGAAGAAGGATGCCCCACTCCTACTCTAGAGAAAAGCCCCATTCATCCTGCACATTTAACAATAGTTAGCATTTATGTAATACATTAAGGTTTGCAAAGTGCTTTACAGATATTATGTCATCTGATCTTCACAATAGCAGATGTATGCTATTACTACCTCCATTTTTACAGATGAGCAAACTGAGGCACAGAGGTCAAGTGACTTGCCCAGGTCACACAGCCAGCTAACCAGTATGATTCCTATACGCAAGCAATTTCATTGTATATCCACCATAGTTAGCTGGTTACATATTAGTCAACCAGTATTCAATAGCTAGCTGACTATTTTGTACCTAGAAAGTCCTTGAATTTCTTGATTTCCCGATTCTTGTCAAGGGCACTACCCTCCTTCCAGTCACCTAGATTTGCAACTTCAAAGGCATCTTCCGCTTTCCCCTCTCGCTTACCCCACGCAACCGAAAAAAATCAGGTGCCAAGTCTTATTGTTTCTAACTCTCCATCTCTTGCATATATCCTCTTCTTTCTATTCCTATGCCCACATCCTGGTTTAGGCCCTCAGCCCATCTTGCCTGTCTGGCTCATCACCTCAAGTCTCTGCCTCAAATCCATCTACCACACAGCTGCCAACAAAAATTCTTCAAAGTGTAGGTCTATCTAGTATCTCATTACTCAAAACTTTCTCTAGGGTGTAACAAAAACTGTTTCTTTTGTCGTTTTAAACCTTTTCATAACTTGAGTTTTCCCCTGTATTTCCAGTCTTCTCATGTTATCCACCTCCTGCTCTCTCTCTCTAGACTGGCCTTATTGGCCTGTTTGTTCTTCCTCATACCTGACACTCCATTTCTCCTTCTGTGTCTTTGCTTTTCCCTGTGCTTGGAATGTTCTCTTTCCTTGCCTCTGCCTTCCAGAATCCCTAGCATTCTTCAAGATTCAGTGGAGGTACCATCTGCAGCAGGAGGCTTTTCCTGGTTCCCTCAGCTATCAGGGCTGGCTTGCGGCTCCTGCAAACACATTCCTCCTCCCAACTCTGGACATATTCACTGGCTGTCCCCTCATGCCTGCAATTCTCTCCCTTCTCATTTCTGCCTCCTAGTTTGTCTGGCTTCTCTCTCGTGTTCCAGTGAAAATCCCATGTCCTGTGTGAAGCCTTTCCTGATCCCCCTCAGTACTAGTGCCTTCCCTCTATTGATTATTTGTAATGTATCCTGAATATATCTTGTTTGTACTAGCAGGACCTGAATTCAAATGTGGCCTCAGACACACACTGGCTGTGTAACCTTGGGCAAGTCACTTAACCCTGTTGGCCTCAGTTTCCTCATTTATAAAATGAGCTGGAGAAGGAAATGGCAAACCACTCCAGTATCTTGGCCAAGAAAATCCCAGATGGAGTCATGAAGAGTCAGAGCCAAACAACTACAACAAAAATTTGCCTGCTGTTTCCCCCATTAGGCTGAGCTTTTTGAGAGCAGGAACTCTATTGATTATTTCATATTTATCCTGTCTATATCTTGTTTTACATAGTTGTTTACATATTCTCTCCCCAGTTAGGTTATGAGCTCTCCAAGGGCAGGGACTATCTCTTGTTTTTCCTTGTATCCCTTGCACACTGCCTGGTACCTAATAAGTACTTAAGTCACTTTATATGTACTTTATACTTAGATATTGCCTCCCCCATTAGAATGTAAGTTCCCTGAGGGTTGTAACTGCTTCTTGCTTTTTCTTTGTACCCTCAATGCTTAGCATAGTGCCTGGCATATAGTAAATACTTAATTAATGCTCATAATTTGACTGATTGATAGATCCTATAGATTCATACTGTAACAACTTGTACAGGCTACAAATACCACATAATAACAGATTTGTCCAAAAATGTCTATTAGGGAATGAAGGTATAGTTCACTTTATGTTCTTTCCTAAATATAATTTGATGCAGAATTCAATCCAGATTTTGAAGACAGGAAGAGTGGATTACAAGGAGCTCCTATGGCTGTACATTAGAAGAAAGAGGCTCTTTTAACAATTGAGCCTTGTATCTGACTGGGGTCAGTAGGGACAACCCAAATCAACAAGCGTGACACGAAGGGCAAATTTGCAATTAAAAAAGGAGTAGGGAATTATCAAGATGGATGGGTCCCCAAGATGCAGAAGCCAGAGCCCCTGTGGCCTTGGCCAAGGATGCAAGAAATGAATGTTCTTATTCTCCAGCACTCGTCACCTTTTGCTCTGAACAGAAGGGCAAATGCATTAAAATAGCAACAATTAGAACACTTACTTAGCTTGGAAGGCATTGTTGGTTCCCCTGTGGTCGAGGTCATGACATAGGCAGCCCACAATCACCGCTAAGATTTCCACCTCAGTCAAAATCTCCTGAAACCCAGCCGTCTGGGAAGAAGGGAAAAATGGCAACTGTAACTATTCAGAGCAGGAAGGATGGATAACGTTAGTCCGGTGAGTAACAATCAACTGTTTTTAGACCAGCATCATTTAAGGAAATGATTAACTGCCATCTACCATAAACTGCTGTAGGTTGGGTGGTCAGTCTAACAGCATCAGGTCCCTGCAGTGATCAATTACTTCCCTGTCACATTTACCCATGCCCCAAAACCAAGACAAGGCATGTGGTCTGTGTGTGTGTGTGTGTGTGTGTGTGTGTGTGAGTGTGTAAGAGAGACAAACCAAGGTAATAAAGGGAAGGAGAGTCCACATAAGAATTTTGACTCCTTAAGACAAAAAAAGCTTCCTTGCCAGTTAAAACAAGAATAAAGCAAAGTTCTAGAACAAAGCATATTCTATTGTTATTAAAATTTAATGATAAGTTACTGTAGTATTGAGTAGTAAAGAAAAAAAGATTAATTTAGATGTGAATGCTATTGGATAAATGGGTGCCTTTAGATGACAGCTGGAGAAGCTAAGATATTTAGTATTAAGAGAAAAATGTTGATCATTAGCTATGAGGAAAAAAATAGAAGGTATTCAAGCCACGAATATATTGAAAAGGATAATTTATAGGCCACAAATTCTCCCTCAAAGTCCTCCTCCCAGGCCTCATGAAGACATTGGGCTTTCAGAGTCTCTCCTAGCAGAGTGTAAGTTCTGTTAGGTGTTACTTACATGTAACAGCTTCAGGTATCTGACTAGGGATGGACTTCCATTCAAGGATGAAGGCTCATCACCAGACGCCTGGGGTTAGGGGTAGGAAATAAGCATTCATATACCACCTACTACATGCTAGGCACTGTGAGGTAGGTGCTATTATTATCCTCATTTTACAGTTGAGGAAACTGAGGCAGAAAGATGCTAAATGACTTGCCCAGGGTCACAGCCAGTAAGTATCTAAGACCAGATTTGAACTCAGGTCTTCCTGACTCAAGGTGCCACCAGCTGCCTCTGCGATGAATTGTTTTGACCAAAGCAACCCACGAAGATGACCTTCTTCTAAGACATGAAGGGGTTGTGATCTGCATTGGTGGATTGGTTTACACTCTGAAGAAGTCACAGATTGGGGCAGTTAGGTGGTACAGTGGATAGAGCACTACGCTAAGTACCAGAAATGATTTCCCTAAAACAATAAAAACCCTCTGGTTTTGAGGCCTTATGCTTCCATCATCCGTTGTTCTTTATTGGATTGTACAGTTAAAAAAATTGACTGAAGAACTAGATTCTACATTTCAAAATGCATGCAGCTTGATTAGTAGTTTAAATGAGGATTTTAATAATTACTGTAGAGTCTGTTTGCATGCTTTAATAATTATCTATGCAATCTGTCCATGCTAAAATTTGACTCCCATTGCCATGACTTGACTCTCAATCCAGAATTGTTCTGTGGGTTTAGGACTTTCGTAGACTAGAGGAAGGGACACCTAGGTGACACAGTGGATAGAATGCTAGACCTGGAGACAGGAAGATTCATCTTTCGGAGCTCAAATCCAGCCTCAGACACGTACTAGCTATGTGACTCTGGGCAAGTCACTTAATCCTGTTGACCTGTTTCCTCATCTATAAAATTAGCTGCAGAAGGAAATGGCAAACTACTTCAATATCTTTGCCAGGAAAATCCCAAATGGGGTCACGAAGAATTGGACACAACTGAAAAACGACTGAACAAGAGTCTAGAAGACATTCCAAAGAAGTTAATCTGAGGGAGCTATCAAATGTGGAATACTTTACTTGTGATTTCATATAGGAAGTGAAACAAAAATTTAAAAATAGAGCTATAGAAAGGATTTGCTTGTGAAATGATAGAAATAATAATAACATTAATTAACAATTTTAAGGTCTACAAAGTGCTTCCCCTATTCATATCTGTGAGGTAGATGCAATACTACAACAGGTATTATTCCCATTTTACAGGTAGAGAAACTGAGGCACAGGAAGGTTAGCTGACCCAAAGTCCCATAACTGCTAAGTGGCAAAGCCAAAGTTTGCGCTTAGGTCATTTGACCCTAAGTCAGTGTTGTGTTTTTTTTCTTACTTCTTTAAGAATTTATATGCTATGCCATTTGGTGCATATATGTTTAGTAATGATATTACTTCATTGTCTATGGTACCTTTTAGCCAGGATGTAATTTCCTTCCTTTAAGTCAGTGTTCTTATTACTGTACTATGCTATTGGCTGTAAACTATATGACAAGGAGGAATATATTTTTTCCCTAGTCTGGCCATCAATTCCTAGGTAATTCACCATGGAGAAATTTCCACTTCTTTGGTGACTGTTTGTCTTTGACCACCATTCTGGGAAAGCCCCAGCCACCATACCTCACTTCATTCCCTGCTCTCTGGCCATAGATTCCTTGACAATCCTCTTGTTCCTGGATGAAGTGTATCAATCTACTCCCCTTCAGCCTGACTCATATCCCTGCAACTTTCTGGACCCAAGTGCCCCTCCCTGGCTTTGTGTGCCATCTCCTCCATTTGAATTTAAGTTCCTAAGGGTAGGGACTATCTTTGTTTATATATTTGCATCCCTTATAATTAACACAGTGCTTGATTCTGGTTGTTCCATCTTTTTTTTTTAAGTCATTCAACTCCCTGTCACCCCATTTGGGATTTTCTTGGCAAGGATACTGGAATAATTTGCCATTTCCTTCTTCAGATCACTTTACAGATGAGGAAACTGAGGCAAACAGGGTTAAATGACTTTCCCAGGCTCATAGTAAGTGCTTACTAAATGCTTTTTTTTCCAATTCATTCATTCATTCCATTCATTTCAAATTTACTGATACTTAACTAATGTCAAGGGACAGGTATCACTAGAAACAGGAAAACTGATTAACAGCTTAAATAGAAATTAAAAAAAAATCTAAAGTCATTCTTTGTATGGCAAATCAAAATCTTAATTCATCACCAGGTTAAAAGGTCATTAGATTTTTAAAAAAATAGAACATATTTTTCTACCAATTTGTCCAGCTATAATTTTGGTTAAAAATCCATTATCTTATCTTAAAGGGCATAAACTATGCCATAAAATATATTGAAAAGCAGCACGTTGTCTAGAAGAGGGAGCAAATGATCATAGCTGATATTTATAATGTGCTTTAAGTTTGCAAAGCACTTTACACACATTATCTCAGTTATGCCTCCTAACAAATCTGTGTATGACACTAAAGCCAATGTCATAATAGACTCCTAGAGCAAGAGGTGAGTAGCTTCCTCCTCATTATTATTGCTATTATTATATTATGGACCAGGCCTCTGCCTTTAAGCGGGGAGGGGAGGGAAGGAGGACTAGCTAAGCCATTATAGGATGGGTGGTCATTTTTTTCTCTTCTTGAAGCTCTCCAGGGATGGAGGCTTCTCTTGTTCTCATTCCATTGTTTTATCATTTTCAAATAAATGAGATCCTGCATCCAGGCAAAATCTCTCTGACTTTCAGTTAAACCCTTTTGCTCTTGATTGGCTCTCTGTGGATGAGAGAAAGGACTGTGCAGCATTTTCCTTGTGATAAACCTTTTGTACACTTAGATTCAGTAATTAAGTCACCTCTTATGTTTTTCTCTTTCCTCGGTTTAACAGCCTTAAAGCTTTTGATCTTTTTTCGCCATCCTTATTTCTCATCTTTTCAATCATTTTTCCCCTTTTGCTGTATTTTAGAATAAGACTAGAGGTCAGAATGATTCCAGGAACCTAAAATTCTATTCACTTCAACAAACTCCTAATAATGTGTTTTCAACATTGAGCTAGGTACTATGGGGGATAAAAAAAAAAGAACCAAAAGAAAACAAAGAAGCAAACAAATCAATCCAAACAGATCCTCTGCTCTCCAGGACCAAATGATAATAATAATAATGATATAATAATAATCATAATAATAGCTAACATTTAGTTAGAGCTTACTAATTGCCAGATGCTGTGCTAAACAATAGAGATAGAAAAAAAAGGACAAAAGACAATCTCTGCCCTCAAGGAGCCCACAGTCTGACTGGGAAGATGATGTGCCAACAACAACAACATATAAACAAGCTACATACAGGATAAATTGGAAATAATCAACAGAAAGAAGGCACTGGAATTAAGGGTGATCTACAGGAAAGGCTTCCTGCAGAAGATGAGATTTAGCTGGGACTTGCAAGAAGCCAGGGAAGCCATGAGGTAGCAGTGAGGAAGGAGAGAGTTGCAGGCATGTGCAACAGTCAGAGAAAATGCCTAGAGCTGGGAGAAGCGTCTTAAGAGTTCATGGAACAGTAAGGAGGCCAGTGTCACTGGATTACATAGTATATGCTGGCAATGGTGGGAGGGGAGTATAAAAGGTGTAAGAAGACTGGAGAGGTGGGCTGGGCAGAGTGCTGGACTTGTGCTAAGGCAAGGGCATACTGTCCTATGGTCTGTCAAATGACCACTTCGAAAATATAATCTAGAAATATAACCCTACATATGATACTGCCATTTTCCCCAAAGCCAGGAGATTGGAGTGGCGAGGTGGGACTTCGTGGTTAGGCCTATGATTTTATCTCTGTGAGGAACTCATGGTGTGATCACTTCACTCTCCAATGCAGACAGGCAGATAGTCTATATTACTTAAGGTCCCAGAGACTTGCCTAGAGGGGTACTGAGAAGCTGTGACACAGTCATGGTTCCATTGCTAATATGTAGCAGAGGTAGTATTTGAATCTGGGTTTTCCTGATTCCAAGGTCAACCCTTCATCCACTACCTCATGTTGCCTCAAGAAATCAAGTTAAGGTATGCAAGTTAGGATATCAATTACAACATTTGTATCCTTAGCACCTATTATAGTACTTGGAACATAGCCAACAAACATTTATTAAGCGCCTTCTATGTACTGGGCACTGTGCTAAATGACAGGGATACAAAGAAAGGCAAAAGACAGTCCCTGCTTTCAAAGTGAATACATATTGATCGACTGTTATGCCTCTAATGATCACGT